GGCAGAGGTGCCATCCCCGCTCTCCCCTCCCCGCCAGGCCTTCGTCAAGATGGTGGGACACCACGTCTCCTTCCTGGAGGACCATGTGCTCCGGGCCGAGCGGCGCCACGGAGCCTTCTCACAGGCCCTGCGGAGGTGGGGGTGGCCGGGCTCCGGAGGGCTCCCCTCCTTCAGGAACGTGAGTATCTCCCCACCCCTCCTCCTCCCAGACCCTGGAGGGGGAGGGGCTCAGGAAACGGGAGGTCAAAGGGCATGTCTCATTTCTGCAGACAGGAAACGGTGTCTGGCCAGCCCGGGAAGGGCTGGCCCAGGTGGCTGGTGTCTCGGTCCCTCCCGCAGCTCCCTCTTCTTGCTCTGAGTTTTGAGCTTCGTGTGACCGCTTGCTTACTCATCCACCATTTATTGAGCGCCGGCTGTTTGCTGAGCATGGTGGTCCATCTGGGATTACATAGTGAGCAGAGACAGATCCTGCCCGCCTCTCCCGTCCTAACAACCTGAGGACATGCTCATAGACGCCCAGCGTTCAGGTGGGGTCCTCCTTCCCAGGCAGAGCTGGCCTCCAGCAGACCCGCGGGGCTGGGGCCAGGAGGGTGCCCAGCCTGAGTGCGGCCTTTGCGACTTGTAAAGGCCTCTCCTTCCGGCGTCTCTGCTTCTTGGGATCCGCCCAATGGCCCGTAAGGATCACGTGCCCCTTTTACTGATGGGAAAGCTGACGTCAGACTCTTCCTGCCATTGGGACCTTCCCTGTCTTTTCAGCTTGTCACGTGCTGACTCCCAGTCCAGGGGACACTGGGCAAGTCCGGAGACATTTGGGTTGTCAACTGGAGATGAGGGTTCTATTGGCATCTAATGGCTAGAGACCAGGGGTGCTAGTAAACACCCTACAAAGCCCCCACAACAGGGAATTGTCTAGCTCTAAATGTCAGTAATGTGAGTGTGGGAAACCCTGCCCTGGGCTGGATTTGCTCATAACAATGGCTTATGTTAGGTCTGTTCTAATTCCTTTTTTTTTTAAATTTGTTTTATAATTTCAGAGAGGAAGGGAGAGGGAGAGAGAGAGAGAAACATCAGTGATGAGAGAGAATAATTGATCTGCTGCCTCCTGCATGCCCCCCACTGGGGACCAAGGCTACAACCCAGGCATGTGCCCTGACCGGGAATCAATCCCTTGACCTCCTGGTTCATGGGTCGACGCTCAGCCACCGAGCCACACTGGCCGGCTGTTCCATGTGCTTTACCTGCTGTGTCATATGGCATCTAATTCTCACACCCGTCTTTGGAAGAAGATACTTTTAGCATCACCTCCATTTTATAGACGGGGAGACAGGCTCAGGGAAGGGAAGGGAGTTGCCCAGGCCCACGGCTGGTGTGACGAGGCTGGATGGAGCCCTGGCTAACGTGTCTCTGGGCCTTGCCCTTCTCAGGAAAGGTGTCTACCCAGCCAGCCGCCCTGCCCTGCTCCGGTGGGGTCTCTCACTGCTCTTTGAGGTCTGCCTGTGGGTCCCCCTCTGTTCCTCCGTTCCCCTCTGCCTCCTGCTGCCCCCATGTCTCCACGCTGTGTTATCTCTGATCATTGTGTGCACTGGGTTTTAACATTACCCCCATTTGATGGATGAGGAAACGGAAGTTTGGAAAGTTTCGGGGGTTGTCTTGTAGCCCATGGACCGAATTTGGCCCCTCATTTCATTTGGCCCGGCAGTGTTACCTAGGCAGCATATATCAGGATGCCTGGCTAGTCATTCACTCTCTAGTCCCTGCCGGATCCCACTGCCCCATCTTTTCTTACACCTGCCCGAAGCATGTGCTGCTCACCCAAGAAAGCAGAGATGTCGGTCACCCAGTGCCTGCCTCCAGATGAACGACTTGTCTAAGGCCAGTAACAGCTAGACAGATCTCATGGTCTAGAAACTCCTATTAATCCTTCAAAGCCCAAGTTAACGCCACCTCTTCCGGGAAGCCCTTTGGGATTTCCCCATCTCCAGACAAATGCAATTGTTTTGCCTTCCAATGACAATGAAATCAGAAGCTGCTACTTCATCGTCCTCTTTGCAGAGTTATGGTAACTCTTCCTGGGTGACCAGCAGCACCCTAGTCACACAGTGCTCTGCCCAGCGATGGCTCCAGAAGCACCTCGGGTGAGGAAGGCCAGAGGCCTTGGCTGCCATGGCCTGCTGGGCCCTTGCCCCTGTGCACCTTGCAGCCTTTTCTGTAATCCGCACGTTGTCCCCCTGTGGTTGGTACTAGTGTCCCCATTTAGAGGCAGAGACCAAGGCCTGGAGAGGGAGAGACACGTGTCTGAGGTCAGTGCTGGGGTTGGGACTCAGGCCTGTGAGGCCCCGAAACGGGGGGTTCCCTACCCACTCCTGCAGCAGGACCCCACCGGGGTGTGGCTGGGCGTGCCGGGACCTGCACCTACTCATCTCTGCCAGACTCGGGCCCCCAGGCCTACTTGCGGTGACTTGTTCCAGGAAACCTGCGGCAGCCCAGGTGTGGTGAGTCATCTGCACCCCCAGCGTGTTGGTCTTGGCCCCAGGAGGGCTTTGTCTAAAGCAGGCAGTGCAGGCGAGGAACACACACACGCACATGCGCACACATGCACACACACGTGCACGCACACACATACACACGTACACAGACCCGAGGATGTCTAGGGCTGCACCTGCCTCCAGGGTGTGAGCTGAGGGCCTTTCCCTGTGCGGTAGCTCTGGTCATTGTCTCTGTTTCCTAGATGGGGAAACTGAGGTGCTGACGGGTTGAACTGCTAGCTCACCCGAGTGGTGGAGCTGGGATTTGAACCTGTGAGGCCTGGCTCTGCCAGGTCTTTCTGTTCCGACCACCAGAACTGCTGTCTGGGGGGCGGGGTCCTGGAGGAATGCCCAGATGATTCTCCATTTCTTCATCTGGGTTTTCCCTAAGCCAGGATTTCACACTGTCCCAGTCCTCTCCCCTCAGTGCCTACGTGGAGTGGACACTGCCCTTCTCGACCAGCGAGGGCACAGCAGCCCCTTCCCCTGCAGGAGCGAGAGCTGCTCCTTACAGCCCGACTCCATCTCCTGCCCCAGCGCCGCCCTCCGAGGGTCCCGTGGAGTGGAGGCTGGGGTGGGACAGGGCCTCTTGGGCCTAGCCTGGGGCTATGATATGCGGGCGAGGGGTCCTGTCACTGTGGGGTGAGCCACCCATCGCTGTCCCCATGGCCTTCCCGGAGTCGGGGGAGGAGTGGGGATCCCCTCATGGGGCCCAGGAAGGAGGGGCCTTTTGGGGGAGATGGGGAGAAAATTGGTCCTTGCTTTTTCTATCTAGCCCCACCTCCCCTCCTCCCTCCTTCCCCCTCTCTCCTTCCTCACTCTGCAGAGAGGCTGCGGGCAGTGGTCCCCCCACACGCTGCCCCGGCACCAGGGACCCGTGGGACTGGGTGCTGCTGGAGCCTGGGCTGGCCCCACGATGCCGTGGAGGAGAGGCCTGGGAACGTGGGTATAACCACCCCCTACGGAGCTCCCCCCAAGCCCAGGCCTTGTACCTCTAGTTGAGCTGCCTGAGAGCTGTGCAGTCAGTCCACAGACCCAGGGCCTGCCTGCGCCCTGGGCTCAGCGTCCAGGTCAGAAATGTGCGTTTCTGTGCACCATGCATGTGTTTCCATGCTATACTGTATGTGCTTCCATGCACAATGCATGTGTTTCCATGCTATACTATATGTGCTTCCATGTTACGCTGTGTTTCCATGCTATGCTGCATGTGTTTCCATGCTACGCTGTATGTGTTTCCGTGTTATGCTGTATGTGCGCCTTGTACCTCTAGTTGAGCTGCCTGAGAGCTGTGCAATCAGTCCACAGACCCAGGGCCTGCCTGCGCCCAGGGCTCAGCGTCCAGGTCAGAAATGTGAAATGTGCGTTTCCGTGCACCATGCATGCGTTTCCATGCTATACTGTATGTGCTTCCATGCACAATGCATGTGTTTCCATGCTATACTATATGTGCTTCCATGTTACGCTGTGTTTCCATGCTACACTGTATGTTTCCATGCTACGCTGTATGTGTTTCCGTGTTATACTGTATGTGCTTCCATGTTACACTGTATGTTTCCATGCTACGCTGTATGTGTTTCCGTGTTATACTGTATGTGCTTCCATGTTACACTGTATGTTTCCATGCTACGCTGTATGTGTTTCCGTGTTATACTGTATGTGCTTCCATGTTACACTGTATGTTTCCATGCTACGCTGTATGTGTTTCCGTGTTATACTGTATGTGCTTCCATGTTACACTGTATGTTTCCATGCTACGCTGTATGTTCTTCCATGCTACGCTGTGTTTCCATGCTACACTGTATGTGTTTCCATGCTATGCTGTATGTTTCCATGCTACACTGTATGTTTCCATGCTATGCTGTATGTGTTTCTGTGTTGTGCTGTATGTGTTTCCATGCTATGCTGTATGTGCTTCCATGCTACGCTGTATGTGTTTCCATGCTACGCTGTATGTGTTTCCATACTACACTGTATGTTTCCATACTACACTGTATGTTTCCATGCTACGCTGTATGTGTTTTCATGGTACAAAGGTCCGTGTTTTCATGCTGCACTACGGAAAGGAAAAGTTTTTATTAGGCTCTTACATTGATCCTTATACCGTCCCAAGATTTTAACTAAGAACCGTACCTCCCCCTCACTGGCATGTTAAAGCCGTGTGGCCGTGGGCGGGTGGCGGGGCTGCTGTAAGCCTCCGGTAGCTGACCTGTCAGTTAGCGGACGTGGGCATGATCGTATGCTCGCTGGAAAGCAGGTTTGGATTTGTTGCAAAGTGACGGGACCTCCATCAGAGCCCCAGGAATGAAAAGGAAGAGAGAGAGTCCAGAAGTCTCCAAAGGAGCGTTCTGGGCATTGGTGGGTCTGGAAGGCCAGCTCCGCTTGTGCAGCACAGCCTGCCGTGAGCAGGGGTCCTGGTCGTGGTGACACAGAGCCAGCCCTGCAGGCCACCACCGTCCAACTCAACACCCACAGGGCAGGGCTGTTTATCTCCCCGATTTACAGGTGAGCAAGCTAAGCCCAAAGAGGATACCCCAGGTCACACAGCTGGGCGTGAGCATACGAACCCCCATTCTCAACTGTGTCCCAGACCGCCTGGGAGAGCTCTGCCCTTGAAGCTGTGTCTAATGGGTGAATACAGACAGTAACCAAATCC